TTTTGCATAACTGGGGATTGAACTCAGGCCCTTGCACTTGCCAGGGAAGCACTTATTCTACTGAGCCATCTCCATGGCCCCCCAAGGTCAAATATTAACTAAATCGCAAAGCCCATGATAGATCAAAACTATAGCCTGATGGGTGTGGTGGCCCACGCCTATAATCCCAGCTCTTGGAAGGCTGAGGCAGGAGGATCCTTGGGAGTTTGAGACTGGGCTACAAAGTGAACTCTCAAGGCCAACCTAAACTGAACAGTGAGACTCTGTCTCAAAAGACAAAAACAAAAAAAAAAACAAAAAAACCCCACCCTCATCCCCCACCACCCAAAAAACTACAGCCTGGTGTGATCAAACATACTTGTAATCCTGGGTGCTATACAAGCTGAGGTTAGATGACTGGGTGATTAAAAATTCAAGGCCAGTCTGAACATGTTTCAAACTAAAGAGGGCTGAGGTATAACTAAATGATAGTGCACTTGCCTAGTATGCATGAGGTCCTGGGTTCAAGCCTTATTACCAACAAAAAAATAAAAATGAGCAAAAACCTAAATAATAAAGTATAAATGATAAATATAAATACATTAACTGCTAGATCCCAAGACATAGCTACTACTTGAAATTAGTGACAATCCATTCATGTTGAATAAATAAGAATTACATATGAAATATAACTGTTATCAAATAATCAAAGCATGTGTCCAAAGTTCTATATACTTGTTTGGTCTTATAATCAAAGTGTAATTTTTGGTGGGATATGGTGGCACACACGGGAGGCTGAGGCAGGAGGATTAATGCAAGTTTAAGGCTGGCCTGGGCTACAAAGTGAGCTCAAGGCCAGTCTAAATTGCATAGTGAGACACTGTCTCAAAGAGACAAAAAAAGAGAGTAATTTTTCCAATGAAATATTTTGGCCTTACCCTCAGTCTGAGGCCCTGATGTGGCTGCTGTTTCATGCCAAGGGCTTTGACTTCCATGAGTTACAGGAGTGGCATCAGGATTTCCAGGAGGAATTTCTTGCCATACTTTGGCATTAGGATTTAAACCAGTCCCTTTGGATGTTACCTGCTAAATAATCAAAGGATCTATTTGTAAATTTTAAAAGTAGATACATTATATCAAAGTTACAAATATAAATAATGGGATTTCCCATTATTTAAATATTAAGAAAATTAAATAAATTAATTTTAATAAATAATGCTATATAGTAAAAAAAAAAAAAGCCTACGTAATTTTAATACTTGTTAAAAAGTAAAATAGTGCTTTACACCAACCTACTTGGAAAGTCTCATAAAATTTATTCAAACTATTCACATATCTTTGAAGGAGTACAATGCTCTTATTCTTACTCCTGGCTTTAGAGTGTATTATTTTTATTGCCATTATAGTTATGACTAAAACTTTGGATCTGAATGATTCTATCATTGGAAACAGTATCTCAAGTCAAGAGTAGTGATTTGTCCAGGTGTGGTGGAGGCATGCAGCAATCCCAGCTATTAGGGAGGCTGAGGCAGGAGGATCACAAATTAAAGGCCAGCCCAGACAACTTAGAGAATGTACACCCAAATACAAAATAAAAAATGGTAAAGAGAATATAGCTTAGTGGTAGAGTACACATGAGTTCAACTGAGTCTCTCTCTCTCTCTCTCTCTCTCTCTCTCTCACACACACACACAGATTTTGTACTTCATTTGTACAAAAGTATATACTTATTGCCCATAATATAATTACTTGAAATATTTCTATTTAAAGTGGCCTTTTCTTTGTATTACTTAACCACTAAAAGGTGAAAGCAGGAATTGTGCGGGGGAACTGGGTGTAGAAGGAAGAATATGAAAAGATGGAAACTAAGGAAGAGAGGAGATTGGGATATACACACACCCTTCTCTCACCTCATATGACCAAACAACAGAGCTTAATCCTTCTCAAGTACATTGATGATATTGTGAAGTTCATCCCTCTCTAGAAAGTTACTTTAACTGTCTTTTCAGCCACAGACCCTCTCCTCTGTATGGTAGGCACAAGAGAGTAAATCAAAAGGGCAGAGAATTAATTAACTCAATTTTGTAATCTACAAGATACTGAGAATTCAGCTCTCCTGAAAAATAACGGGTGAACAATGAACTATTTATTAGGAGGGTGTCATAAACTCCCTTTTCGAAGAGGTTCTTTTTTTTAGTTTCACAGCTGATTAATGTGACAGTTTTGATAATCAATACACTGTACATTGTTATCTTCTTAGTGGTTATCCATAGTACAAGAAGCAGACAGGATATTCTGTCCAAACACTGTTAATACACCTCTTTTTTTCTCTTTGAATTAAGTGAAAGTAGCTGTAAATTTATCCTATTTTGTATATATAAATACAAAATGATCATTCCTTTGTATCATTTTTTTTTTGTCTGTCAGAGGTCAATATTCTATTGGCATCTAAATAATATAGGTATTTGAATTCAACTAAACAATCTAACACTGTCTAGCAGTCTATAGTATTAGTGGGTCATCCTCAGAAGTTATTGACTTGAGCCTTTTACAGATCATCGTTTTAATATGGCTTTACTTTATTATATACCTCATTTTTATACTTTTCTGTGGATAGGTAGACCAAGATATAGCAAGTCCTATATACCAAGAAATGTAACTTTTGTATCTGATAAGGTCAGCCAAATACTCTCAGGATTTATCTTGTACTGAAGAGGTTCTTATAAGTAATGCTACTTTATAGGTTAAAAACAACAAAAAATTCAACCTTTAAGGTACCACCAATACTTAAGTATATTCAACCAAGGTAAAGCTGCAGAACCCCTAGACAAAGTTGCTAACTTAAATTTCAGCTTCTGACGGCTGAGTGTGGTAGTACATGTCTGTAATCCCAGCAGAAGGCTGAGGCAGGAGGTAGGCTGAGTTTGAGGCCAGCCTGAACTGCATTGAGAAAACCTATCTAAAAAAAAAAAAAAAAAAAAAAAACAAAAACGAAAAGACTGTGCTCAAGAGGCCTACTTCCATAATTATGCCCCATGAAATTCTCGCATACTCCTCTAATGAATAGATTTTTCAATGTGAGTTTGAGTGAGTTTTTTGTATTGTTTGTTTTAGTTGTACATTGTGTCAACATGGCTCTAAGGGATGAGAAGGCAGGTCTCAGCATGGGGGCCTAGCCCTGCAGGGGGCAGGGCCCAGGAATTGAAGGCTTCCAGCTGCCCTGCCCCACATCGGGGAAGAAGTCCCAGTCTTCGGAGGAGCTTGATCTTTGCAGTCGCACCACTGTGGAGGAGCTCTGATCTTCACTGTGGAGAAGTCCCAGTCTTCGCAGTCAGCGCAGAAGGAAGAGAGAGGCCTGATGGACGCCGCAGCTGCTGCTCCTCCTCCGCTCTTCATTGTTTTCGCCCACATGCACTGCTGTTGTTTGTCTTAGAGCCAGCGGAATATGGACTGAACCCTCCAGTAACTGTGAGCTAAATAAAACCTTTCCTTCCTTCATTTTGAGTGTAGGGTATTTGTCTCAGCAACGAATAAAAAAGTAACTAAGACACTGATTATATTCTATTGTTTGACATTTTAAAAAACTGCTTCCTCTTAATAACTGAAAAGTTCTGACAATCTGGGAAAAAAAGACCAGATGCAATGCCATCTCCCATGCTCAGGTTCATTCATAGCTCAGGGACAAGAGCTAAAACCTCCCAATGTTGGTGTTAGTAAGGATATATTTTATCACTTACACTATTTAGAATTTTCACGCCTAGGAAAAGTCCTAGATTACCTAGGCTGGAATTAAACGTGAGATCCTCCTGCCTCAGATTCCCTGAGTGCTGGGGTTACTAGCATGTACAACTATGCCAAACTTGTCACAAAGATTTTTCATTAACAAGAACACATACATATTTACATATACAATCTTTCTCCAATTCTTTTTTAAAATTTAATTTATTTGTGTGTGTGTGTGTGTGTGTGTGTGTGTGTGGCCAGCTCAGCCCATGGGAGGGGGGCGGAATGTGGTGCTGGGGAATTGAACCGCGGTCCCTTGTGCTTTGCTAAGCTTGTTCTAAGTAGGTGCTTTAGACCACTGAGCCATCTCACCAACCCTCTTTCTCCAATTCTAAGAATACAAGATATGTCTCTATCAAAGAAAACACAAGACTCTAGAAATATAGCTCTCAGGAAGGTATAAACTCCTAAATCTTTTTTTTTTTTTTTTTTTTTAATTTTAGGGAAGGGTCTACAGGGTGTTCAGGGTCTCATTACTAGATCGGACTTGTAGTGGTCCACCTGTTTATAGCTTCCTAAGAGCTGGGATTACAGGCCCCGGGATCCAAACCCTCAGCCCCTGTGCCTGCTTGTAGGTGCTTTAATCTGCTAAGCAATTTGGCTGGCCCTTAATCTTGATAAATAAAAAGAATTTAATAATAAATTCTGTAACTGAGAAAGATACAGGACAGAGCAATCTACCCAGATATGTTCCTAAGCCACAGGATTGCTACGTGGTATTTTAGGAAAGCAAAATACATTTTTCAGTTATTATTTAAACACAATGATTGCAGTTCTAGAAATCACACCTGAATTAAAATTCAAAACAACTTGAACTAAGAAAACATTTCAGTTCTTCTGAGCCTCAACTGTAAATTGAAGAATTCCTTACTGTAATAATTAAACTGTATCAGTGCTTGAGAAGCAGTTAAGGCTCAGAACAAACACTCCTTCCCTCTCATTACATCAATAATACTATGTATTTGTTTATTTACTTTTTTATTTATTCGGTGCCAGGGATCAAACTCGGGATCTTGGGCTTGCCAGGCAGGTGCTTATGACACTGAGCTCCCTCCCCCACAACAACACTGAATTTGATAAAGCCATCTGGGCCTTTTTTTGTTACTGCTGCTTTTTTCCCCTCGGTAGTACTGGGGATCAAACCCATGGCCCTCAGGCCTGCTAAGCAAGCACCTACTCCTGAGCTACATCCCGAGCCCTTTATATTTTGTGAGACAAAGTCTCACTGAAGGGTCCTCCTTTCCAAGATGACAGAAAAAAATAAGGAACAACAGTCATGCCTATTTGCTGCACAAACTGCACCTGGTGCGTACCCAAGGATAAGGCCATTAAGAAGTTTGTCATTCAGAACATAGTGGAGGCTGCTGCCCTCAGGGACATTTCCGAAGCAAGTGTCCTTGATGGTTATGTGCTTTCTGAGCTGTATGTGAAGCTGCATTACTGTGTGAGTTGTGCCATTCACAGCAAAGTGGTCAGAAATTCATCTCATGAAAGGATCGAACTCCCCCCACCCCTGATTTAGACCTACTGGTGCTGCCCCATGACCTCCACCAAAACCCATGTAAGGGGAGCTGGGTCTTAATGGACTGAAGAAAACTCTCTTGAGAAAGAAATAATAAATTGAATGTTAACTTAAAAAAAAAAAAGTCTCACCGATCTGCCCAGGTTAGCCCTGACTGTGCATACCTTCTGCCTCACTTACTCTTAGATGCAATTATGGTTGGGTGCTGCAGCATCCAACTTCCGTATCTTTTTATAAAGCATCTTAGTTTTGAATGGAAAGCAACTCTGTCTCATTTTCATTTTCACAAGTACACATCAAAATTAATGTGCTCCATCAAAATAACTGCAAAATGAATTTATGTATTTAGTATAGGGTCTACAGGGTCTCACTACACAGCTTGGACTTGTAGTGATCCTGTTTTCAGTCTCCCAAGCACTGGGATTGCAGGTGCGCATCACCACGCCCAGTCTCAGTCGCCAGCTCAGTGCACCATGGGGGCGGGGCCAGCACGGCTTGCCATGGATTGAGCTTAGGTCCCTACACTCTGCCTAAGCAGGCGTTTTATTCCATTTACCTATCTGGCTGGCAAACTGTAAAGTGAATTTTAAAATGAAATGTAAAAACTAACTTTGAAAGGGAGTCAAAATCATGTTACATGACTATAGAATTACAACAAAAAATTAAAAATATGACTAGAAAAATAAAAATCAAGAAAAAGGTAAACACAGACAAACACAATAGGAAAATTAAAAGTACCATTTTATACTTCTCAGATTATTAAAGTACCTAAAAATAATCC